AAACCCCCTTCCATCAAAGAACAGTTCTATTGAGATATCTGCTTGATGGACCATCACTTCGTTCACCCTTTGTCCTACTTTTTCATTGAAAAGGAGTATCAAATCATCCCAGAAGGAAGGAAGTATGGGATGATGAGAGAGAACTCCTTGACAACTTTTGGAAGGAAAAAAACATGACCACGTAAGGAATTTGAAAAACTCGTTTTTATGACTTGTAATAAGTTTCTATTTACATATTTACTAAGTTATTTAATATGTAGGGAGATGTGTGTGGACGTCTAATGATGCTTGGTTAACCCGTAAAGATGCATATAAACTACTTAAAGAAGATGCAATTAGTTACGATGTAATTACCCTTTTTACATGCTTCATACAATACACGTACTAGAATATAACTCTAATGTTTACAATTTTGCATGTAAAATGTTCTTAAGATATATGTTGTGCTTGTGAGTGTTCTAATTTTATTTTTCTATGTACATTTCAGGTTATAGCCTAATATGTTATGCTTTGTAAATAGGTTGATGGAGGAGAATACAAATATGCAAAGAACATACACATTTGTAGTCCTTGGGTAACCGTAAGTACAAATCCAATTAGAGATTATAAGTAGTATTCATATATTACGTTAAATATTGAAAATTAGCCTTTTTTTTGTAGAGATGCATTAATGAAAATAATTTGTCAAGTGTCGAACGTATGTTTAAGCCATTAACGACTAAATGTTTCCTTGAGAATGATAAGATTATTTTCCCACTTTTAACTTCATTTCATTAGCACTTGTTAGTTTTATCTGTAAAGAAGAAAATATATTCTCATTACTCCTCTCTCCGCAGATAAATGCCCGATGCTATTTATTTCAAAGTAAAACTTATGTCCTCCATACCCGATACTTGGAATTTGGATATTGGAAGACATTGAAAGTGTTAAAGTACCTCAACAATGTGGGTAAGTGTAGTCAACTTCTTCGTATGTTGTTGTCTTCTCATATGTTTTGACACATAGAAATTATATATTATGGGTAAAAACTTTTATATTTGTACTTGTGGTAGCTTAGATTGTGGGTTGTTCATGATGGCATATATATTCAGCCTCATCTTTGGTCAACCTATTTTAATAGACCAAAAGGATTGTTTGCAAGATGTGGAACTGATCAAATAGGAAGTGAACATAAAAAGCTTTTAGCTTCACTCCTGGTCTTATATGTATATAGGGGTGTTTGCTTATAAAGCCAAAGCAATACTTCAATTTACCAAAAACCCCACCTAATTCTATATGTTCCAATAAACCCAAAATAAAAAATTTGTTTACCTTTAAACCCAAAAATATAGAGCACAAAGTATGTAACTGCATATAATGAAATGTATACCTACATACTATAGGATGTATAGTTATATATTATTTTCGGTATAGACACATTGGATGTATAGCTACATATCATAATTTATATATATATATATATATATATGGAGTAACCTTAACTTCTTTTCCCCCTATTTTGCCTTTTTCATATGGTTCTCAGGAGTATTATGTTCAACTCCTATCTTTTTTTAGAGTTTTTTGTGACTCTTTTTTTGTTAGTCACTTTTTTTGGTTAGTCCGTTCATGTTGTTATTTTTTATTATTTTCTCTTTTTTTTCATCGACACACTTTTGTAACTTTTTGGATGTTTTCTATGTGAAGGATACTGTTGAAGAGGCAAACAAGAATTGGCATTATGTTTTAAAGAAGCTTCCTACTCACGTTTATGATATTGATAGTGATATTGGTGCTACACATAGAGGTGACTATTGGGTTGAAAGTAGTGATATTGTCAGCGATTTAATCCCAACCACTGATGATGACATAGAAGATGTGGGTTGGTGTAGAGATGATGTGCCGAGGTCCACTGTTGACATTCCTCCAAATATATATATTGATTCAGATAATGTAATGGAAGGTGATGAAGACAGTGACTTTGATGAAACAGACTGGACTTTGATGAAACAGACTGGGCTTGGATGGAGTAAAGACATGATACTATATATTTGGTTGAAACAAATGAGCTTTGAACTTCTAAGTGTAATTTGTCATTTTCTATATGTTTTGAAAGAAATGACCTTTGAACTTTATGTTTTGAGTATATCGGAGTGTAATTTGTCATTTTCTATATGTTTTGAAAGAAATGACCTTTGAACTTTATGTTTTGAGTATATCGGTTGAGTATAATTTGTCATTTTTTTGAAAGAAATGACCTTTGAACTTTATGTTTTGAGTATATCGGTTGAGTATAATTTGTCATTTTCCAAAATATTGCTCCTGGTATTTCCTTTTGGCTTGCTGACATGAAGTTTGCCTGTATATAGATTAATAATAATTTGAGTCTTTACTCTGATGAAATTTTGTAGTTTTCTTTTGTCACTTTTATCTTTCTATGCACATCCATGCACATCCTGGTATTTTCTTTTGTCACTTATGCCTGTATACCCATTGTTCAAGTGTGTAATTACCCATTGCTCAAGTGTGTAATTTTCCCAGAGAAATTTGTAGGTTTCTGTTTATACTAATCAGAGCGGAGTATGGATGGAAGAATGTACTATATATCATCAGTTGTTCTGTATCTGGTTGTAATTTTTGAAGGAAAAAATTTCCACTCCGTGACTTTAACAGCAATGATAATTTCTGCACATGGGAAATTGTTAGAGTAATGAAAACGAAAGCACTACACCAAAGCAGCTCTCCAAGATGGGAAACGTAGTGTACGCTTGTGGATCAAAAAGAAACACTAATGAAGTTATGCTTTAGACACAAAGACAAGGTTTCTTGGTGCTAGAATGTGATCTCATTAACAGAAGAACGGAATGAGATATTATAATCTGTAATGGGGAAGGAGCGGCTGGTGTAGGATAGCAGGCGATTTCTCTGCTATTGTACGCCCCCGCTAAGATTTCTAATGGCTAAAAAAAAGAAAAAAAAATGGGAAAAAAATCATAGAAATTGGTCTGCGATCTTCAAATCTAAATTCAGCCGGCCTGGAGGATCAATCTGATACTTCTTTTACTAAAGAGGATGAAGATTTGTGCATTGAGATGGGGTCAACGGGTCCGAAAGGGGAAAAGAAAAAGGTCTTGCTGATGGATATCCTTAGATCTGATGCCTTCCCTTCTGATTCTCGCCTCCCTCAGATTTCTCCCAGGACCTTAGGGATCCAAGCTCGGAATCTTAACAAGTCGACAAATTCTAGTAAGACTTTCAACTCTGAGGCAAGTTGTTCCAATGCTAGATCTTGGGCTGATGATGTTGAATTGGGAAATAATCAGAATGATTCTTGCTCTAAGAAGTCTAATATTACTGATAAGAGGGATTCCGATGCTGGTAGGGTATTGGATTTGGAAAGATTGGGAAATAATCAGAATGATCTTTCTGATATTGTTACATTGAAATCACCTGATAAATTGAAATCACCTGATAAAATGAATACAAATCCAGTATTGATTTTAGATCCTGAAAAGTCAAAAGATTTTCCTCCTTTAAATCCCCTGTCAGCAATGCCTACTAATAATTCTACTATGGGGAAAAGTTAGGTTAGCATGTTTGCGGATAATAGGAAGATTGGGAATGGTTTTGATCTTGATTATTTGCCATCTTCCTCTAAAGATGTGGTTTCTTTTGAAGAAGATGAATGGAATGAGGGGATGTCATTATGGCAATTCTCACTTATTGGTCAAGTAATGGGTCTGAATGTGAAATATAAAGCAATGGAAATCTTTGTACAGAAGGTATGGGCTCCTTTTAGTAAACCTGATGTTTGTCTTCTCAAACCTGGTGTTTTTCTGTTCAAATTTAAAAGCAAAGAGGAAATGTGTGAAACCTGATGTTTGTCTTCTCAAACCTGGTGTTTTTCTGTTCAAATTTAAAAGCAAAGAGGAAATGTGTGATATACTTGAAAGGGGTCCTTGGTTTTTTGGCTCGAGGCCTCTTCTTTTAAAGTAAAGAGGAAATGTGTGATATACTTGAAAGGGGTCCTTGGTTTTTTGGCTCGAGGCCTCTTCTTTTAAAGTCCTGGATAGTGAATGCAGAATCTGATGGCATAAGGGAGTGTATATATCCAATGTGGGTTCAGTTGCCAGGCTTGAAATTAAACCTATGGAATGCAAGGTGTATTAGCAAAATTGTGAGTACAATTGGAAAGCATATAACCACTGACAAGCTCACGGCTAATAGGCAGAGACTAGCATATGCAAGGGTTCTTGTGGAGGTCTCCTTGCCAACATCACTACCTGATCATATCTCCATCCAAGGGCCAAATGGAGTAAATTTCTCCCAGAAAGTTATTTACGAGCTCAAACCTAGATGGTGTGATTTGTGTAAACAAGTGGGGCATGAAACAAATAACTGCAAAAGAAAACCAAGACCCCAAAGATGGATTCCCAAACAGAATGCCAATGCTGATAAAAGAGGAGATTCTGCTATGGAAAATAGAGCTGAGATAAATAAATCTCCAAAAGAGTTACCTGTGAATGCTAATGTGGTAAAGAACACTTCTGATAATAATGTGGGGGTTTCAGTCTTAAATGTTGGTGAGGGTACACATCAGGTTTTGGAGCCTGTGCACTTGGACTTTGTGCATGTTGTGCACTCTGGACATGGTGCTAAAGCTTCAGTCTATAAGCCAAATTTGGAGTCTGTTTCTGATAATAGTGTGGGGGTTTCAGTCTTAAAGGTTGGTGAGGATACACATCAAGTTTTGGAGCCTGTGCACTTGGACTCTGTGCATGTTGTGCACTCTGGACATGGTGCTAAAGCTTCAGTCTGTGAGTCTGAACATGTCTTAAAGGATAAAATCCTCAACAATCATCTGGTACAGGATTCAGAATTCTACAAAGGTCCATGGGAGCTGGAAACCTTAATAATTCTGGAGAATTGGTAGGCTCAAAAAAATTCACTGTAAACTCTTTCTTCCCACTGGATTTCTTGGATAATATTGATCCTTCTACGTTGGATAGAGGGGATAAAGCTATATGAACTTAACATTCTGGAATGTTAGAGGATTGAACAAATCCTCTAAGAAGCACTTAATCAAGCATCACTTATACCAATATAAATCTTCTTTCATTGCAATGCTTGAGACTAAAATTAGAGAAACTAAGATATCAGATACTGCTCAGAAAATTGCAAGAAACTGGAAATGGACATCAAATGTCAGAAATGCTGGAAAGGCTAGGATTATAATCATGTGGGATCCAGATATTTTGGAGGTTCAACCAATTGATTTTTCTGAACAGCATATTACAAGTAGGGTGCAATCAGTTGATGGCAGAATAAACTGTGTTATATCTGCAATTTATGGTCTTAATGTAAATGAAGCCAGGAAAGATCTTTGGATGGAGCTTTCTCATATGAAACAAAGCATTGGAAATTTACCTTGGTTGCTATGTGGTGATTTTAATGCTATGATAACCAGTGAGGAAAAATTAGGAGGTTCTCAGTTATCTGAAGCTGATACTAAAGATTTCAGAGACTTTATTGAAGTTTCCTTGCTGACTCATCTGAAAACTCTTGGTTGTTTCTTCACTTGGAACAATAAACAAAATGCTGAATCCAGAGTCTGGAGTAGACTTGATAGAGCTCTGGTAAACGATGAATGGATAAGTTCATATAGTGCCAGTCATGTTGAATTCCTCTTACCCAACTTCTCAGATCATTCTCCTGCCCAAATCTCTATCTATGAAGATTCTGCACAGGGAAAGAAGCCCTTTAAATTCTTTAAGATGTGGACAAATCATCCAAGCTATGAAGCTGCAGTATCTGATATTTGGAAAGTACCTATTCAAGGATGCAAGATGTTCTCAATTTGCAAAAAACTCAAAATGCTGAAGGGGTCTCTGAAGGATTTAAACAAGAAACACTTTTACAATATTGGTGAGCAAGTCCAAAGATCCAGAATTGCCTTAGAAAACATTCAAAGTGATCTGCAAGCTCATCCTCTCAATCCTGTGCTAATAGCTCAAGAGAAAGAATGCATATCTAAGTATAACAGGCTGCTTGATTGTGAACTGTCATTTCATCAGCAAAAAGCCAGGATCAATTGGAATATTCATGGTGACAGATGTACAAGTTTCTTCCATAATATAACTAAATCCAGGAATCATAACAATAGGGTGGTGATTCTATACAACAATTTGGGTGAAAAGATCACAGAAGCTAAGGGGATTGTGGAAGAACTGTTATCCTTCTACAAAAATCTTATGGGTACTGCTGTGAATACCACACCACCAGATATGAATATCATCAAAAATGGACCTTGCTTATCAACCTCACAAGCGAATGCTCTTATTTCTCCAGTCACAAAAGAGGAAATAAAAGATGCTATCTTCTCCATTTCTGAAAACAAAGCTCCTGGGCCAGATGGGTATAGTATGTCATTTTACAAACTGCTTGGGCAACCATAGGAGAGGATATTACTTTGGCAGTTCAGGAATTTTTCAGAAATGGCAAGCTGCTAGGTATGGTGAATTCAACTTCCATCTCCCTCATCCCAAAAATAAAATGTCCAAAAACTCCTGCAGATTTTAGACCGATATCATGTTGCAACTGTCTTTATAAATTCATCTCAAAAGTGATTGCAAATAGATTGAAAACAGTGATGGGATACCTTATCAATGAAGCACAAAGTGCTTTTGTTAAAGGGAGACAAATTACTAGCAATATTATGCTAGCTCATGAACTGGTCAGGAATTATAGCAGGAAAGGAATCTCTTCTAGAGCTATGATTAATATTGATATTAGGAAAGCATTCGATACCATCAGTTGGAGTTTCATTTCAGATTTGCTCCATGGTATGGGTTTTTCTGATTCTATGATTAAATGGATAATGGCATGCATTACTACTCCAAGCTATTCAATCTCACTTAATGGTTCATTACATGGCTATTTTAAAGGCAAGCGTGGTCTGCATCAAGGTGATCCCCTCTCTCCTTATCTCTTCATCCTGGGAATGGAATATCTTTCCAGGAAATTGTGCCCACTAGTAGAAAATAAGCTTATACCTACGGAACAATCGCATGTGCGTGTCTCTAAGGGTACTGAACTTCCACATGGATGGTCAAAATTCAGCATATTTTATCAATTGCCATATTGGAGAAGTTTAAAAATACGTCACAACTTGGATGTCATGCACATCGAGAAGAACATATGCGAGAATCTCTTGAACACTTTGTTGCAGGACGGGAAAAAATCAAAAGATGACTTAAGGGCACGTCGAGACCTAGCAGAATTGAACATCCGTCCCGAACTGCAAGCTATAGATAAGGGTGACGGAAAGTTTGTACTCCCAGCCTCCCGTGTCACACTGTCGAAGGATGAGATCCATAATATGTGTTTATTTCTAAAGTCCGTGAAGACACCGGATGGTTATGCTTCAAACATTTCAGCAAATGTGCATATTGAGGACAGGAAAATTTTGGGACTCAAGAAACATGACCATCATATTCTATTGCATCAACTTCTCCCGGTTACGTTGCGACATGCTGAGAAGGAACTCGCGATGGTGGTAATAGAATATTGCGGTTTCTTCAAGCAGTTGTGCTCCAATGTGATTGATGTCAGGGAATTTGAAGAATTAGAGGGACGTGTAGCCAATACACTATGTAAAATTGAAATTCTATTTCCACCCTTGTTCTTTACGGTCATGGTGCATCTCACAATACATTTAGCATATGAAGCCCGCATCGCAGGACCAGTTCAATATCGCTGGATGTACCCTGTGGAGAGGTATTTATTATTATAATGCTCAATTAATATTTGTTAAATTACGTATATCAGTTTTATTTTGTCACAAATCATGAAACTATATGCTTGTAGGTATTTGGGTTTCATGAAACATTTGATGCATAATCGTGCACGTCCTGAAGGATCGATAGCAGAGAACTATATAAGTAATGAGAGTTTGAATTTCATCTCTCGTTACTTGCGGGGTGTGGAGACAAGGCTCAACCGTCCCCAACGAATAATTGACGGAACATTCTATAATGATCGTGGGGAGGACACTAGATTCCCCAGAATGGAGCTAGATCAAGCCCACACATATATCTTGAGCAATGATACTACATTTAACATATACGCGACGTAAGTATTTAACTGTTTGAATCAGATCATATCACATCACAATAACTATCTCTATTTAACTGTTGTAAATGATTTTATTCTAGGCTTCACATCCGATATGTCCAGACTATTCTTAAATGCAGAACAAAAAACAAAAGAGTTATGGACACACACTCTAGACAATTCCCTGCATGGCTGAAGGGTGAAGTAAGATTTATTTACATTTCTGATTCGTATATCAAATATGTGCCTGCCAACAGATATTTAAACTATTTGTTTCTTTTCTTAAAGGTTGACCGACGTATTACGAATGGGGTTAACCTGCCTGAGAAAATATGTTTATATGCCAGAGGTCCTTCTAACGTGGTTAAGCGTTATGGAGGCTACTGTATCAACGGCTTTAGGTTTAACACCATCGGTTTCGAAGAGAGACGACAAACGCAAAATAGCGGTGTGTTCTGCTCCTTCTCGCAACTGTCATACGCTAGTTCAAAAGATCTAAATCCGATACAAGGTGAAATCTATTGCTACGGTCAGGTAGAAGACATTGTGGAGATTTTCTATGGGATTAATAATGAAGTCAGACATGTGATGTTTAAGGTTCGTTGGAGTGAGCTGAAAAAGGCGAAGGATGACTACGGTTACACACTCGTTAATCTTAACAAGGAAATATATCAGACTGAAAAGTACATGTTAGCTGCTCACGCAAAACAGTGCTTTTATGTCAAAGATATAATGAAAAATGACGAATGGGTTGTCCTTAAGAATCCGCCTAGATCCTACATTCATGAAGCCGTGTCTGACGAAGATCATGAAGATGTTATCTTGGCCGACAAAACAGTTGCTGAGTTTTCATTGACACAAAATAATCTGGTGGATGAAATTGCCCTGGCGCGCCCTGATGTACATGCGATTATATGTGAGCCAAGGCGTAAAATCAAAAAACGAGTCCACGGTAGAGTCGATAAAACTATAAGGACAGTCCTTTTGTCTGCACGCACACGGTCGCAGGCTAACCGCACACGGTCGCAGAGTAGAGCCTCAACATCATCATAATAATATAATGCTTGGTTATGATTTAAAAAGAACATTCATGTATCTGTTTGACTGGTTAACATGTATCAGTTTGTGTTATGTATTATAGTATTGCCTTTATATTATCTGTTTGACTGGTTATCATGTATCAGTTTGTGTCATGTATTATAGTATTGCCTTTATATTATTTGTTTGACTGGTTATCGTATATCAGTTTGTGTTATGTATTATAGTATTGCATTTATATTATCTGTTTGACTGGTTATCATGTATCAGTTTGTGTTATGTATTATAGTATTGCCTTTATATTATCTGTTTGACTGGTTATCATGTATCAGTTTTTGTCATGTATTATAGTTTTGTTGGGTACTCATTATGTTTTCAAAGTATAGATGACAAAAGGATTACGTAAGAGAGCGCTTGAGAGAGTTTTTGGTAGACATTCTGGAGGCGACGCACATGGCTCTACGTCAGGTATTTTTATTTATTTATTATATCTGTACATTTCTATAAACTATTAATACGAGCCTAACATTATTTTTTCACATTTCCTACGCAGGCCGCATCGCTGCTACACATGACGGGCCGCCACAGGACACAGGACGAGGAGATGCTCCACCTGATGCGGAGACACTCGTTGATCCTACCCAGCATGCAGAGATGCCGCCGTCGCCTCCTCAGGCTGCAGATGTATTGGAGGAGCGCCGATATGAGCCATATAGCGCAGCTGTAGAAGCTGCGCCACTACCGCCGGATTCTATTCCGGATCAGCGAGCCCACGACCCGGCCAAGGTGAAGGAGGATTGGGATGCTTATCATGATTTGCGACTTATCGCACAGCAGAGGTATGAACAAGCAAGGCGTAGATGCCTCGAATTGAAAGGTGTGTATAGATTTTTATAGTTTATATGTTAATATTTTAATTTGTATTATCGATATTGATTGATTTATATTTCGCCTGAATTTCATTTTTTCGTAGGTACCGAGCGACCTACTAGGCGCGGCCGCAGTGGTACCAAGACACAGAACCTCATCCCAGATATTCATCGGAGGGCCGTGATCCGATGGGAGAACGGCGTGCCTGTCGGGCCATTTGCTAACTCATTCAACAATTTCCTCGCCGCTTTAGCCAGGAGACATGATTTCTTCAACATATATTTGACGTGGAAGTCGCAGCGGATTGATGCGCTGGTGGCTTGTTGGCGATATATATGTGTGAGTCATTTATTTTAATTCTCATAATTATTAGTCATTTTATTATTTTGTTTAACACACTGATTTGTATCTCTTTTTTCATTGTATGCTGAAGCGATTTTTCTTTCTTGACGATTACGCTTATGCCTGGACTTACTGCTTCACGCAAATCAATCTATCGTTCAAGAGGTGGCGGTCAGAGCTGAAGAAAAAATATTTTACTCAAAGAACAGAAGATTGGGAGCGTTACTGGCATCTTGACGAGCGCGCCGATGGAGTTGATTTTTTTGCACTTTGCGATTATTGGGACACGGCCGAAGCTCAGGTATTATTGAAGTATATATCTTCGTTTATTGTTTGAAATTCTATATTATATCTGTTTAACATTCTTTTGCAGGAACAAGCTGAAATAGCAAGGAGGAACCGCAATGCACCACGCAGTTACGAGCATCACGGGGGCTTCAGGTCCTTCAGCCAGCATTATCATCAATTGGCGCTTGAGGTATATAATATATTAGCTCTTAGGTTATCAATTTGAGTATAATTTATGTGTTATGAGTTAATGATATATGTGAATAAAATAGGGAAGGGGAGAACTCGGGCATTTTGCAGATCGTATTCTGACTGGTTGGAGTCCAAATTACGCCGATGAAGTGAAGAAAGCGCAGAACCGGGATCTGGCTGTAAGTAGCAGTTAATTTGTATATTTAATTTTTATAACAATGCATTTTAAATGTGTTAGAATTGACCGGGTTGTTTTGGTATATCGCAGGAGAAATTACATGCTAAGGTGCAGGAGCAATTATCACAGACTCAGGTCGATTCTAACACTCCGACCCGATTAAGTAGAGAGGAGGAGGATAGCATCATCGAGACCGTCATTGGACCGAGTAGGAAGAACAGATACAGGTGGAGAGGATCCGAGCATCGGCCGTACGAGTCCAGTAGCACCTACGAGTCTGCAGCTCCACCAGGATGCAGTTCTTCTCAAGACCCGACTATGGAGCAGCGGATGAAAGCGATGGAAGATTGGCAGTCGCGTCGGGAGTCGGAGCTACTCCAGATGGCGGAGGAAGAACGGAGGCGCCGGGAGCAGAGGGAGCTGGAATTCACCCAG